GAATCATGTTGTACACCTGAAACTAATGTTATATGTCAATTACGTTTCAATAAAAAATAATAAACACAGGAAGGATAAACCAGAAATTAATGCAAATGGTTACTTATAGGGAGTCGGTGGGAATGGGGTAGAGGGCACAGGCATGGGAGCAAGATTTCTCTGGGAATAGCTTTTTATATGTAGTTTTGACCATGTAAAGGTTTGCATGTTTTAAAAATAAAATCACAGGCGGCTGGCTGAGTGGCTCAGTTGGTTAAGAACTTGCTCAAGAATGTGAGCTCTGAGCAACAGGGTCGCCGGTTCAATTCATGGCCCGAGCTGAGCTGCCAACAGGTGGCAGGATGGCTCAGCTAAAAAGAAAATTAAAATAAAAAATAAATAAAATTAAATAAAAAATAAAAACAAATTCTAAAGTTGAATACAAACAGAAACAACTCCACGGAGGAAAACAAATGATTCAAGTAATTTTTAGTATGTTCTCAGTAGGATACATTCTAAGGAAGGAAAACTGCAAAAAACTTCTGAACTTTACTTGGGTTTATCATTAGTAACGGTATTGGTCTTGTAATATTGGAAAGGGTACATATATTGCTCTTGGGAACCAGGGTTTTCATTACAGAGAAGCAAAATACAAATATGAAATGGAGGGAAAGTGAGGAAGAACCCTGTGGAATTGGATCTGAATTGGAGATATCAATATAAACTCGTTATTTTTTTACCTCTGTCCACTGAAACGGCATATAAGCCATGATGCCCTAGTTTCTAAACACCATTCCACTAAAAGGAACCAGGGCTCCTTGGAGAAATGGCTAATATCAGTCAGGTCCAGGACAGGGAACGCACACAGTAAGCCTAGAACATCTTTTGCCAAAAAGCAAGGAAGTGCTCACAGACTAACGGATTGTGTCCAAAGGACACAGGAGCCAAAGTGAAATGGTTCCTGCTGGACAAATCCGGGACAGTTTGAGCATCAAAAAGGATGATGATGGTGCTAGATTATAACACATTAACAATGCGAGAAGGGAGGTAACTAAAGGGGAAGTTCTTAACTGAATAAGTCCAGTTAATAAATTTAGAAAGAATTTAAGAATTAGAAAAAGCACCCTTTTGCACTCCCCCAATATAACTGATTCAGGCGAAGATCATCCAGGGATGCTAAAACCATTGTGGGTAAAGGTAATGGGGAACATACTATTCACATAATCTCTAAGTATCACCGCATAGACTATTTACTGATTAAACGGGGAAAATGTGCCTTTGCGATGGGCAGATGTGGTGGTAACCATTTTTTGAAGTGATCAAATTTAGCATCACCAGTATTGCTACAGCGTGACATTGTGCCTTCTGGCAGCTGGTAAAATATTTAACCTGAATCGGGCCAGCTGAATGGCGCGTTGGTTAAGAGGTGGCTTGGGACGCCAGCTCTGAGCAGCAGGGCCCCGGCTCAGATCCCACATGGACCAGAGACACTGCCCTCTACAGCTAAGATGGTGACCAACAGCTCAGCCTGGAGCTGGGCTGCCGTGAGTCGCCAGGACTGCTAGGCTGCAGTCCCTGTGGCAGTGGGTTGCCATGGGCTACCGTGTGTAGCCAGCAGCCAGCATGGCCGTCCGGCCGTCCAGAGGCTGGCAAGCGACTGCCTCACCCGGGAAGAGCATAATGATAATACCAACATGGGCCATTGAAGTGACGTCCTCCACAACTAGACTGAAGAACAAAAGGACAGCAACTTGTCTGTTCCCCTTCCGATTCCCCAATGCTGTTTCCTACCCCAATTCCCCAATAAAATCTTTAAAAAATTTAACCTGAATCAATTTGAAGAAACAAGTCTATGAATTCACACTATGGAATACTTTTGAGTCCACTTGCCTGGATTCTTCTAAAAATGCAGTGTTGTGCAAAGAAAAAAGGCTAATGGATTCTGGATTAAGAGACTATAAAGTAAAGGGAGATAACTAAATGCAATGCATGAACCTTGAGTGAGTCCTGGGTTGAAATGTAAAATGCTCCAATTAGGAGAATTGGGGAAATTTAAACATGGACTGTACGTTGTGATAATTGGATTGTTAATTTTTAAATACGCGACAATGGTATTGCGGTAATGTAGAAAAATGTCTTATTTTTAGGGGTAAAGAATCACGGTGTCTGTAACCCACTTTCAAATTATTCAGAAAAAAAACCTGGCAAAATGTTAACAATCATGAACCTAGGTGAAGGATCGACTATTCGTGTTACTTATGCTTTACTTTCACTTTTCCCGAAATAAAACGGAGGGGCAATCCATTTGTTTGGGGGAAATGTCAATTCTAAACAATTAAGTTACAAAGGTACCTCTGGCACAGAGCAATTAACGGCTGGTTTCTCGGTGGGATGAAGCGGCAAAACGGCGGACAGCTTGGACGAACGCCCGGTTCCCAACCGCACGTGTACTGCAGCGCGGTGACCCGCGTTTCTGCGCTGGCGGATCACGTAATCCAGGCGCTACTCCTGATTGGTGGAAAATCCGGCTGCGCAATAAGAATGCGCTTGCGAAGAAAAGCAGAAGGGGGCGGGACCAAGCTTTTTGTTGACCAATCGTTTCCACGCTCCCAGCTTTCCTGCCGAGTATGGTCGAATCAAAAGCCTTTAGTAAAGTAGTAACACCAATTCTACTTTTTCGCAGGACGGCCGGCCCTTCCGGTTGCTTTCGTTATTCCATTTCCGGTAGAGGCTGGTAAGGTCAAAGAGCACTTTGAGTCACTTTTGAGCGACTCAAGTTTTTATTTCCGGCCACTAGGACTCACCCGGAATATTTTCATACCCGCATCCGCTGCCATTACTGCAGCCGCCATCATGTCGGACATAGACAGCGATGAAGATTCCGCTGGAGGCGGCCCATTTTCTTTAACCGGGTTTCTTTTCGGCAACATCAATGGAGCCGGGCAGCTGGAGGGCGAAAGCGTCTTGGATGATGTGAGTGAGTGGGCATGGGAATAGGGCTGAGGGTGGCGTGACTAAGAGCAGGTGGAGTGAGGAGAGGAGCGGGCGCTTAGGAACCCAGAATAGAGGGCGAGGTGGCCCGCCCTTTGTGAGAGGGTGCCGTGAGCATAAGAGGGACCTACAAACGGAT